TATTTCAGCTTTCTCTAAAGCTTCTACATGTACACGCTTTGTTTTTGATTCCAATTTCTGTTTTATATTTTGAGCTTTGGTTTTTAGCTCTTTTGCTCTATTGTGTATTTCTTTGTTATTTAGTTCTTTTGCTTTGTCATGTATTTCTTTTAATCTTTCTTTATTTTTAGTATCTTCTTTGTCTCTCTTTTTTTTTGCTTCATCTTTTATTGCTGCTATTTTTTTATCATATTTTTCCTCTTCTTTTTTCTTTTTGCATTCGTCATTTTTTAATTTTTCTTTTTTTTCTTCAAAATCTTTTTCTGCATTCGTTTTTTTATTATCTTCTTCACTGTCTATGTTTGTCATTTGTTTTTTATGCTCTTCATCTTGTATTTTTTTGGCTTTTACCACATTTTGCATTTCTGCTATTATTTTTTTATATTCAGAATCCATTTCATCTTCCACTTGTTGCATTTGCTCTATATATTCATCTCTTTCTTCCCATTCTTGTATTTCAGCATTTAGCTTTTCAATTTCTTTTTGCTGCACATTTTCTTCTATTTCTTGTGCTATTTCTCCTGCCATAGCTACATGCACATTAATCAATTATCAAAAATATTAATTTAATGTACAGTGTATGTGTTTTAAATTGTACTATGTGGCTCCAGCCTGTATTTATTTTTAATTCAACATTCCTTCAATAAAGACACTAACAATTGATTTCTCATCTATTGATGATTGTGTGTATAATCACTGGACACAATAAACAACTAGTATACAATGAATATCAAACACTTTTTATGTAAGTTAAAACTGATTAAAATTGACCTTGACATTAATATTAATTGTAATTTTTTGTTGTAATAATAGTTGTTGGTTTACACTAACCTGTTTTGTCTTAGTATTGTTTTTAAAGTCTCACTATTTCCTGTTTCAGTTCTATACAGTATACCTAATATCAAGAGTAGATAATAACTAGGGTGAATGTAAACATTGAAGGGGCGAGCATGAGCCATCGATTGACATTGTTTGATAAGAAGATTAAAATTATAATAAATCCAGTTCTTAGCCTGCATGCATATTCAGACCCCGTCCTCATGGCTGGGGTCTGAAAAGAGAAAACACACCAACAAACAACCAAAATAACTCAGTATTTTCTTTTTCTCTAACTATTTTATGTTTATTAGTAAGTTATAATTCTGTGAAGATTGTAAGAAAAGATCAGAATTTAGAAGTATAGCTTTGTTTCCATAAAATAGTTAGAGAAAAGGAAAATACTGAGAGGGAAAGAGAGAGAGAAGGAAACACTTTAAAATCCAAAACACTCTAGGAAAATTCTAATTAAATAAAGCGTAACATCTTTGACATGGACACTTAAAATAAAAAGTACAGGGAGGGATGAATGAAAATTTAGCTCTAAGTTGCTTCATTTTATAGACTTTTGATTTCAGTGTTCTAGAGAGAGAGAGAGATCTAAGAGAGAGTTCAAAGTTGGTAGTTTATTCTTACTGTATACCAGTTAATTTTTGTGGTAAAATATTTTCGCGAATTTCGTGGTTTGGTGATCATTCGCAAAAATTTTTCACAGTGAAATTCTACTCTCCATTGCCACATGGTGTAGTCTGCAAGCAATTCATGAAAATTTATTCCGTGAAATCTTAGAAATGTGAGATTTGCAAAAATTTTCCACCACGAAAATTAACTGGTATACGGTAATTCTGTCTGAATATCATTTACTCTAATATCTATGTCACCATCTTGTTCATTGTGACCACACCCTCAAAATTAATTTTGTCCGCGTGGTCCAAATTTATTAATAGTATACTGATTTATAAATCATTATCTTCTGTTCACAAACAAGACGTAATGCAAAATAGACCTAGACAGATTAGAGTGGGTCTCGCTCATGTTCGTCCCAATTAGGAGTGTCCTACTGTGTATACCCCCTGCTTCATCACCATATAGAATTGAAGAGTCACAATCCAGTTATTTCCGTATTTTTATTGAGTTTGAGTAGTTAATGCTAGTTATTTGAACGTACGTCTGGGCGTGACTGGGAGGTGCGGTCTCAAGGTGGAGCCCCTCAATGTTTTACATTCTTTCTAGTTTTGAAATTTTTAAGGATTTTTTGGAATTTCCAGAGATTACTGGAGATTTTAAAGATTAACAGATTATTATAGGGTTATTTTCAAGGGTGTACAGGATTATTTGGAGCTGCGGACCCCTTGCATGGGACAAAGTTAGCAGCTTTCTAACAACATTGAGATACTGTCTAAAGACTTCTCTAGAAACATTAGAAGGTAGAGAGAACTTCTATAAGTCTTAATAATGACCAAGTTGTACTTGCAAGGTGGTGAAATCAATTATAGGAATATTTTACACTTTTACGCTTGTTTAAAGGGGTAAGTTCCATGCATTTTTGAGGTATTTTTTTTGGCTTAATATGATTGCCTGACCATACTAATGATG